TTACGCAATGACATTACGTGTGCAGTGCAGTCCCTAAACCAGGGGTCGGCAATCCGCGGCTCCGCATCTGCGAGCGGCTCTGTCGAGACTGCTTTGTGGCATTATTCACTTGCATTGCTGCTCTTGAAATATATATTTTTTGCTGCTCTTGAAATAGATACATTTTTGTACAGAATTCAAAAATATGGCTCTTATTTTGGTTGACGACCCCTGCCCTATACCATGTGGAACACCACGACATCACCATCTCGCAGTGGCTGAGTGGGTAGACTGAGTGGCCGTGGGTCGAGTCCAGATTTCAATTTACCCTCTTTTTTTATTAATTCAATCGTACAAATAAGGAAAACTGTAAAGTTTTTGATATGTTAATAAGTAAATTCTCAATAATGTGAAAACAATTATTTATTAACCATAACATGAATATAACCCAACAGGCCCTGGTGCTGTAGTGGATAGCATGGCTGCCTCTGAAGCTGGTGACCCGGGTTTCAAATTCCAGACTTTTTTTTCCAATTTACAAATCACAACGATATCACTGTTTCTGTATACAGCTATGTGTGCGCAGTGCAATCACCAAACTATGTGAATCCCTTCTAGATTTAAAGCTTTCGTGACTGCTAGGATCCATACTCTTTGGTTCTATTGGGTGAAGTCACGTAGGTGAAAATAAAATAACAAAAAATCACAATAGAACCAAAGAGTATGTGAATCCCATTATATCTGCGTTCGGACACGGTGGCTCATGAGCAATGAGAGCCAATCCTGGAGTGCAGAGATGCAAGGTTTGAATCCCCGCCAGAGACATATACGGGACAAGGCGCAAGATAGACTAGAAATGCACGGGATGGCAAGTGCAGTGCAGCTGGAGATGCGGAGAAGAGATGAGAACCCCAGGTGTGGAGATGGCCGAGACTTGGACCAGATGTGAAAGAGACGGATGTGTTTTACGAATGGATATTCCGTACATAAAGAAGACAGCGTGGAAGTTGGTTATGTGGCAAGTGTGCGCAGGAGGAGGTGGCACCACTCGCAAGGAGTGGAGGAAATCCAGAGACTTGGGACATGTGGAGACGAGAAGAGAGGAAAGAAGTGAATCTTTGTTTATCTAATAAAGGTGTGGCCACTAAGGGGCGCTCTTCTACCACTAGGGAGCGCTGTTATTGAATAACCAGTCAATATTTTTTTGGGGAAATAAGCTTAAAACAGGGTTTTCAACAGATTGAAGCTGTAAGCCATAGTTTTATGTAAAATCGCAGTGAAATCTGCCAGTAAAACAAAAAGTTATGCTAAAATGGTATTACAGTAAATTTCTACCACCAAGGTGACTCCGGTTTCCTGGAATGTGGCATTGAAATGCTGTCTGTGACAAAACATTTTTTTACAACAATATGACCAACAACACAATTTATTTAAAATAAATAACGTGAAATATTACTAGATGAATCGTATCTACAGTCAAGTATAGTTAAATAACCCCTATAACCACATAGACTGGAAAGGCTGCGGATTGAAGAAAATGGCTGTATATGTACAAAGACTAAGCAGTAAAAGGGTTCAAACGAAGTGGAACATTACCAAACGAAAGATATCCAGGTGTGCAACGTTTTCAACCCATTAAGAGCTCCTGCTAACGTTTTTTTTACTGCAAAATAAATTAGTAAAATATAACGTGAGCAAAAAAAAACATGGTGTCTAACAGGCAACACGTGACTTTAATTGTGACACCCCAGGGAGTAGCAGTCGCAGGATGGGGTAGAGAGAAGATATTCGTTTTACGGGAGGAATGGAATATGATTGTTGTTATCTGCAGTGGGAGTTTGTTCCAGTGTAGGGGAGCAAGCTGGGGAAAGGAGTGAGAGAGTGAGACTGGGCGCAGGGCGAGGGAGGCACAGAGAAAAACAGGTGGAGACTGGGAGCGAAGAGGATTGGATAGGACAGAGTAGTACGAGATGAGAGAAACCATAAAAGCAGGGGCAAAGAGACCACGGAGGGATTTATAAAAGAGAGCGAGACATGTAAACGGACAGCGATGGTAGAGACAGGGAGCCAGTGGAGTTGAGAAAGTCGAGCAGAGGTGTGGGAATTGTGGTGGGAGGTTAGAAATGATCCGGGCTGGGGCATGTTGTATCTGTTGTTGGAAAGGAGTTAAGGTGTAGGCAGGAAGGCTGAGAAGAAGGTTGCAGTCGTCTAGGTGAGTGAGCACGAGGGAGTGAATCGGGAGTTTAACAGCAGAGAGAGAGATGAAGGGACGGATTTTGCGAATGTTGAATGTGACAGCGGCAGCTGTGGTTGTAGAGAGAGGAGTTGAAGATGACCCAGAGGTTGCGAGGCAGAGGAGACAGGAGTGAGGAAGAAGGGAGGGAATGAGATGGTAGGACTGGTTGGTGCGAGTGTTGCCCTCTAGCGGCACGGGACAGGCAAGCGCCTGAGTAGAGAGCGAGTGGTTGGATCCCTGAAACTTGGCGCCCAGTGTCACACCGGCTGTGTCGATCAACCTTGACAGCCGTGGGTCGCTTGACTGGGTTGGAAAAAAAAACCCCTGACTGTCGTCACCCGGGACTAGCTTTCATACAAGATTCACTCGCTCGCGACAGGCGGGGAAGTCACCGCAGCGTGTGGGGCTGCGTAGCTGTCAACGGGAAGGTTAAAGACCTTGGGAACATTGGCACTGACGAATTCGGAGTCCGAAAACAGACGGGGACGGTGATGTGAGTTTTCCCAGGCAGCCTTCCCCGCCGCCACCGCTGCTGCTGCCACCATTCCAGAAGACCGCCGGCGAACAGAGTGGAACAACGCGGACGGACCAGGATCAACCGCGGTCTCATTCGAGACCCAATCATCGCAACTCCTGGCTTTGACATTTCTCCTCGAAGACGCTGGAGCGGATGTGTGGTACAGTATTATACTGATGTGAAGCCTACCCATTAGCGTTTTGTTCCGTACCAGTTTGTGTGTTCGCCGACCACTATATTCGCTGGTCATTGGCTCACCTGCTACATTTGCACATTGAACGTGGCTCGGCTTTACTCCGACTTCATTGCATTTTCAGCGTGATCTACCTTCTCGACTTTCCCTGTCCCCCTCTCTTAATGCTACACCAGATTTTGACTCTTCTCCACCATACTCCTCACTCCAATGTACCCCCCCCTCCTCCTGTCAGAGAATCATGTTCTCTTTTACATAACCCCTCGCCCCATTACCATATCTCCTTGTTTCCCCAATATTCCTTTCCTCTTAAGATCTCACGTCCTTTACTTGTATGTATGTTGAACTTCTTTCGCGCCGTACGTAGACTACCGTGCTAATCGGAGGTACTGAAAAATAAGGAACTAAATTTTAAAAAAAGCAGCGCATGAAGCAAGGTAACAATCGTTGCCACCACAGTTTAGTTTTGTACTCCAACTTAACCTGCGCAGCAGCAGTGGATTGTGTGCGTTACAAAATTGGCTCGTCACTCTGGGACTTCAATAAGTATTCTTTAGTCCTTTCGGTAAAGTCATGTAGGTATAAAAAAAAAAATCACGACGTGTCGGGCGCAACACAAGCGTCCATCATCAGGCGGGACAACCACATCAAGAAACAAGTACCTGTGTTTAACACGTAGTACGCTTTCGCGACCAATATTAATCATAATAAAGGTTTTTGGGTTAGATCGCGTTATTTATAAATGTGTCGTAACCCTCCACCACCCGACACGGCCAAACAGTAAAAAATGTGTCACGTTTACAAAGGACAAATAGTTCACTACTTTAGCCCACCGGTGTGTTGAAGAGTGAATCAACATCATTTAAAATTTGAGTACAACGTTTCGCTGGTAATTGCATCCAGCATCATCGGGCAATTCGCCAGAATGGTAAAGCCCTCACTTGCTCCCGGTCTTAAATAGAGCAGCATGGTGACGTCTGTGTTGCGCCCGAAACGTCGTAATTTTATTTATTTATTTTATACCTACGTGACTTTACCGAACGAACCAAAGAGTATGGATCCCTGCAGTCACGAAGACTTCAAATCGTGTTTTTCAGCTCTTAGGATTTCTCAGACAGAATCAAATACAATTTAGATTTATTGAGCGCCTTCACTCGAGGCGCTTGACGTAGCCTACAAAACAGCGACACAGAATGGATTGATGTGGTTGACAGGGGCGTGCTACAAGGATTGAGGAGTGAATGACAGCGATAGAGGAGTTCTTAGGGATCACGAAAGTTCGATAGAGGAGGAACAGGAAGGCGTGGAGGTGCAAGTGGAGGAACGAGGATGGGCGATATGAAAGAGGTGGGCTTTAAAAGCGAAACGGTGCTGCTTTTAAATTTTGACTTAAAACTTTCGTGACGGCAGGAATTAATATTCTTTGTTCTTTCTATAAAGTCACGCAGATAGAAAAAAATATAATAAAAATAAAGTGATTAAAAATATCACGACGTTTCGATCGCAACACAAGCGGTCGTGATGACAACCGCTTTATTTGTATTATTGTTTCTATCTACGTGACTTTACCGAAAGAATCAAAGAATATGGTACTGCTTTTTTTATTGTGCGTTCTTAAATAAAGGTAAATGTTTGTCGTTGTAGCGATCATTCAAGAACAACCGAAGTATGTGCACTCCGATTGGCTGCATGAACAGTTGTGGGCTTGTGTCCTTGGCACCAGTCATGGCCCAGCCCGACTCAATGACTCAACATACACACATCGCTTGTCACATTGGCATCTAATATATAAAAACAAATCTAAATCGCATCACCAGCTGTAAACACGCTCAGTTGGATCTCCGTGAAAATACAGGGGTTTTTGGATAGCCCCAGCCCCTGCATTCGCCCGGTATTTTGAGGACACTGCGAGGAAAGACATGACGGAATTGACCAGTGTGCTGATGCATGCATGTACCATGTTGAACTTCTATCACACCGTACGTAGGCAATCGTGCTAATTGGCGGAGCGGGGGAATGATAATCAAGGTGGGAAACGTGCGCACATAAACACAAGGGCACAGGGAACACGTTCCTTGAATTTTTCTAAATTTATTTTTTGCAGAAATGACTGACAAGAGACATATGAAGGATTTGTAAAAAAAAAATTCAACATGGCTCCGATTGCATATGTACCAAAGCGGCGATGGTGGTGTTGGAATGGACATTGGCAAAACAAAGAAAATAATATACTTAAAAAATACTGTATTCGAATAAAAAAAACCCAAACTGAAATATGCAGCTACAGTGATGAGCATGCATCCGCATTGACTAATTTTTCCATTGACCTATCAAGCACAACAATAAGACATAAAAGATCCCCCCGTATAGCCTGTAACAGACTGTTTTGGGCAAGTGCTGTGAGCTAGCACTTATGAGGGCCGGCACGGCGCACAAGGGGGTGGGTAGCAAACACCACGCCCGGCCGCCTTTGTCTCCCCAGTAGCGATGTTTGCACACCGAACCAGGTACTCATTTATGGCTGAGTTGACCTCGGGGAGGCCCAGGATCGGTTCGAATAATTGTCACTGGTGTTGGCCGTGAGCGGGATTCGAACTCGGGACGCCAGGTTCATAGCGCAGCGTAGCGCTAACCGCGACCCTTCACGACAACCATTGCTCCCACATTCACGCACACAACATGCCCCATTTAAAACTCCTCAGCCCTAAACCACGCACGCTTGCGAATACCTCCTATTTAACTATACATAACGATATGGCAAGTGCTGTTAGCGAGCACTCATGAAGGCTGGCAAGTCAGGCAATAGTGCAAGTCACGCAATAGGCTGAGTTAACGTCTGGGAAAATTCAGGGCAGGTTCAAAGGTTAACAGGTTCCACTGTTGTTCATCATTGCTAGGGAAGGGAACGGTGGTGGTTTAGGTCATAGCATTGCTTTAACCATCCAAGCACACACAACTGCTGCCACTCACCACTTCACATGTTACAAGGGTGTTTGTGCCAGGCTAGGTGCACATGACAATAATGGAGCAGGCACAGGTGTTATGGATAGGCTAAGAGACTGATAACTGGCAGATAGACTTCAAAAGACAACACTCCTCTCTTTAGCTCTATCGAGTGTAAGGCCGGTTTGAGATAATATTTCTACCCCCATAGCATTTTCATCCAGGGATTGAGAATTTTACATATTATTTGAACGCTGGGGTACACATTCTATTGTAACAATTAATCCTCTCGTGGAAGTATGACCCAATCACTTAGCAAACTAGGTGGGGGAGGGGGGGTTAAACAATCACGTGGGGGTTTGAAATAACAACAATAGGATTCTGAATTCTACGCGAGTCACAATTCTACCTCACAAGCTTGTGATGCCAAGATCGCATGATGTTAACTACCTCACCCGGTATACAGGAGATAGTGGGTTCGATCCTGACCCCCGACGCCTGTATATTTGGCGTTTGCGTGTCTCTCTCCACGTGGTCGCGTGGACTTCTCTCAGAGTCCTCCAGTTTTTCCTTCCACGTTTAGAAACACGCACTTAGAGTATTTGGCTGCTATACATTTCCATATGACAAGCCACTTTATTGAGCTATCAGTTGTCGCCAGGTCACTTCTGACAAAGAGCTGCATAGCTCAGTGGGTCTTTCCTGCTAAAATAAAAACATAATGTTTAGTTAAAAAGGATAAAAAAAATGTTTTAGCTAGATTTACCTCACGCTGGCAATGTGCATGACGAGGTGATGTGGTCAGTATCTCGTCCGGGGCCACCTTTGTCGCCCCAACATGTGATATTAAAACACTGCACCAGGTATGCACTTTAGGCCGAGTAGGCCAAGAGCCACTGGCGTTCGCTACGGCCGCGATATTGAGCTCAGGTCTGTTGAATATATACAACAGGTCACTGATGTCATCACAGTCACATAACCATGCAACAGACACAAAACCACTTTGCTAATTCTGGAGAGAAGCTTCGGTTTGTACCGACGTTTTGTGAGCGTGCCTCTTTATTTCTCTGCAGTCAAGTAGAGGTGGAATTGAGATACAAAAGATAAAACAGACTCTCTGGTCAGATCACTTGAATTAACAAATCGTCGCATTCCTAATCATATCTGCAGGGTCGATCAATTGAGTACCACTTTGTGGGAAGTCAAAAGTGGATCTTCTATAGACAATACTTGGTACTGTCATATGAATGTGGAATTTCCACCAATGGTTCAGCATCGCCAATGGAGATGTGCACCACCCCACACCTTGTGTTGAGAGCGAGACTCTTTGACTTGACTTTGTGTGTCCACATTTGAGTTGGGGTTGTGTTTGAGGGGACGGTTGGAGGGGTGGGGGGACAGGGTGGGGGTGGGTGGAAAGGTCACGAGGTCATTAGGCCGATCTCCACGCCCGGAAGCTGAACCCAAGGTTGATGCAGTAGCAGCAAGTGACCACGAAGGCAATAACCTGTGTGCACACACAAACACACAAACACACCCCACACGCACACACCACACACAGACAAATATGCCATGTGTAGCAATGCCAAACGAGTGTCTAGAAACATCCCAGGGGTGCAGGTGGTGGCAGGGGGGCAGGGAGGCAGGGGGAGTCCCAAAATGTCAAACTTTATAAACAGGGTCCCCCCTACGTTAAAATTAATAATAGAAACATTCAATGCATTTTCGAGGTTTGGATCCGCCACTCAACCACGCAGACAGCTGCGGCTAATTCATGCTGATGCCAAGACACTGACATTGACAGTGGTGATGATGTGGCTGATGTCGCTACTGCTGCCACCACTGGCGCAGTCGTACTGGGCCCCCTGGGCCACGTTGCTCAGCGATTGCGTTTAAAAAAAAAAAACCCATCAACGGGCATCATCGCAGCCGCTCCACCACCTCGTGCCATAGCCGAGCCACCTTCGTGGAGCTCCACTGCACCAAGACGAGCGACGCGAGCGTCGCTCGTCGTCGAGGAGCTCACCGCGGCCGCGATGTAGATCCCCTGCTGATCCCCCTGCTCACGGGCGATGCGGCTCGACTGCATCGCCTCGACCACGGCGGCCGCGAAGTAGAAGCACACGGCGCACGCGTTGAAGAGCAAGCCCTGCGAAAGGCACGGGGGGGGGGTGGGGGGGAGAGGCCAGGACGCGGTAGGACAGCAGCAGAAGGGAGCGGAGACAACGTTAGGAGCGCACGGACATCATCCTGTGTGTGTGTGTGCACAGGGAGCGGTAGTGTAGAGGTTAGCGTGCTGCAATACGAACCCGGTAACTCGAGTTTGAGTCCAGCTCATGGCCAACATCAGTGGCGATTATCTGAACTGGACACGGGCCTCACCTCGGTCGACTCAATTGAGTGCTCACTAACAGCACTTGCCCCAACTATATGTTAAAGCTATACGGGTAATCTTTGTCTTTGTTTTTTTGTGCATGTGTGTGCATGGAGAGCAAAGCCAAAGCTAAAGATGCCACATATAGCCTTTGAACAGACGGTTGAGGCGAGCGCTGTTCGTGAGCAGCACCTGTGAAGGTCGGCACAGCACACGAAGGGGTGGGTGGCCAGCACCACGCCTGGCCGCCTTTGTCTCGGAGTGGATGGCGCAGTGGTTAGCGCACTGCGCTACAAACTCGACGGCCCAAGTTCAATTCCTGCTCACGGGCAAACACGTTCCAAATATCTGAACTAGTCGTTGGGCCTCCCCTAGGTCGCCTCAGCCTTAAATGAATACCTCGCGTGGTGTATAAACAGGTAAGGACTGGCTTCGAATGCTCGTTAGAAGCAGGAAATCACTGCGACTGCTGAGAGACACCCGGCCCCATCACAAAACCCCTGGGGCCAGACAAACCGAGGCACAGCGAGCGAAATAATCTCCGTGGTGGTCGTGAAGGAGGAGCGCAGAAAATGAGGGCTCAGGAAATTGCTCCATGGCCCGAAAGTGACTCGCGCATTTGTAATGAATCCAAATTTAAACCCCTCTCCCTGAAAATTCCTCTAATCAGTCGAATTACTTCGCTAAATTATACACCAGCAGTCGTCTGAGTAAATATATGCCTAAAGATTTGTGGATGTACAATCAGGGATGTTTTTTTTTGTGCTGTGTGTGCATTTTTGTGCGTGTGTTTGTGCGTCTGTGGCGTTGTGTGCGCGCGTGTGCATGTGTGTGTGTGCTTTTGTTCGGCCGGATCGAGGGGGCTAAACGGGCGCGGCATGGGCTAGAGAAGAGATGGAGTGACGTGGTGCAGGAGAATCTGGAGCTGAGTGGACTTGCCGATGACTGGTACCAGCGGTGTCAAGATCGGCCTCTGTGGAGGAGGCTCGTGAAGGACGCTACTGGGCAGTTGGAGGCAGTCGCCCTCCAACAACAACGGAGGGCGGAGGAGTGACGCTCACAACAACGAGCGGAGCGCCGGGTGGCTAAAGCACAGCAAGTTGGCACAGTAGGGGGCACAGGTGGTGCATCAGCCAGTCATCTCGGTCATCTCATTCAGTCGACCCGTGGCATCTGGGTCTGCCCCGTGACCTCCTGCCAGCGGGCATTCGACACTTCACATGGCCTCAAGGTGCACATGGCCTGGCACATTCGTCGTGGTGATGTCACCGCCACTTAGTGGCGAGTGGCGGTTGTTGTTGTTGTTTGCACGTGTGTAGGGAGCGGTAGAGTAGCGATTAGCACGCTGTGCTACGAACCCGGGGGGCCCGAGTTCGATTCCCGCTCACGGCCAACACAAGTGACGATTTTCTGAACCGGCCCTGGGCCACCCCTAGGTCGACTCGGCTTCAAATTAGTACCTGGTGCAGAGTGTAAATATATATAAGGGAGACAAAGGCGGCTGGGAATGGTTGGCCACCTACCCCCTCGTGTGTCGTGTCGGCCTTCATAGGTGCTCGCGAACAGCACTTGCCCCAACAGTCCGTTAAGGCTACACGGGGGATCTTCGTCTTTGTTGCGTGCAAATGTGTGTGTGTGTGATTGCATACGTTGGTGTGCGCACGTGCGTATGTATGCATGGATGTGCAAGAGTACATCCGTGCGTACACATGTGCAATAACAACTGCTAATTCACAGCCGTGTCGAAATGCTGCTGGATGAATGGCTGCCCATGCCGCGTTGGTCACGGCGGTTGTTTGACCATACTTCACCACAATGCGGGGGGGAGGGGGGGGGGTTCGCGTGTACGTTCACGCAAGTGCAACATCGTTAGTGGGCCGATTCGAAGTGGTAGGCACGGAGACTTAATTTCATCTTTCCAGTTGGACAAACCGGAAAATATTTCTGCAAGCCAGCACACGACATCCAGTATATGCAATGAAATGTGCCTTACAAATGTAAATCAGTGTAATCTTTAGTATTATCACTCCAGTGGGGAGATATTAACTACCTCACCTAGTATGCAGGAGGTCATGGGTTTGATTCCGATACCTGTATCTTTTGAGTTTGCATGTCCCACTGGGATTTTTGCACACAGCGTTGATATGCGGTGCTTTTTCTGGAAGTCTTTGCTGTTTTTTTTTCTGGATTTTTCTGTTCATGTTTTTGTTTGTTGCGGTTGCACCCGATTCAAGAGCCGCATGGCTCACAGGGCTATACCTCCTCATAAATCAACTGAACTCTCTCCCTGGGTCCTCTGGTGTTTCCTCTCATATTGAGAATCAAAATGCATTTAGAGTATTTGGCTGCTATAAATGTCCACGTGATAAGCCACTTTGCTAAGCCATCATTTGTGGCCAGGTCGCTTCTCAGAAATAACACAGTGGGCATTACGTGGTAAAATTAAAAAAAAAAATCCTTTAGGTTAGTTCATTATGATTACACTTATACCACCAAACTGAATTCAGCGGAACCACGTCCGGACACGTGGGTGCCGCGGGCGCTCCCCATAGCGTGTGCCGGGGGGACGTGGTCTCGGCACGCGCGTCCAGCGAGCTCACCAGCAGCAGCCAGCGCTTCTGCACCATGTGGCGGTAGAGCTCTGCGATGTAGATGATGAACATGAAGATGGTGAGGATCCAGAAGGTGATGGCGACGCACACCACGAAGCCCAGCGGCGGCTCGCGCTTGTAAGGGGTCGCGGCCACCAGGGCCCACACCACCAGCCCCAGAACCTGCACAACAGCAGCATCAGCAGCAGCAGCAGCATCATCAGCATCATCATCATCAGCAGCAGCGTTGTTATCATTGTCGTCATTGTCATGATCATCATCATTGTCATTATGCGTGTTTACCCAGGAGAGCAGCAATGAGTCTCATGACTATTTGGCCAGGGATTAGCGATGGTTGTGGTGCGAGTGCTGTTATGGAACACCGATTAAGGCCGGGATGGCAAACGAGGGTGGTGGGTGGCTAGCACCATGACCGACCACCTTTGTCTCCTCACTGCTGATATTTACGCACTGCGCCAGGTACTGTACTATTTAAAGGTTTAGTCAACCTAGGGGAGGCTCAGCACCGGTTCAGATATTTGCCACTGGTATTGGCCACGAGCGGGAATGAAACTCGGGTCGCCAGGTTCGTAGCACAGTGCCGTAACTATAGCGCCACCAGTAACGACAAACACATACATACATACAGAACATATAATAAGCCAAACATGTGTGTGTGTATCCCGCGCGTGACGTCACTCCACATGAGGCCCCCCTCATTAATAATCATGAGCGGGTGACGTCACTCCACATGCCGCACCCCTTCCCAATAACCATAAGCAGGTGACGTCACTGCACATGCCGCACCCCTCCCCGATAACCATTAGCGGGTGACGTCACTCCACATGGGGCAACCCCGCCCCTGCACCATGCGCAGCCGCCTTTGTCTCCCGAGTTGCGGTGTTTACACACCGCACCAGGTACTCATTTGAGGCTTAGTCAACATACAGACACACATGCAGACAACAACAACCGCCATTCGCCACTAAGTGGCGGTGACGTCACCACGACGCTTGTGCCAGGCCATGTGCACCTTGAGGCCACGTGAAGTGTCGAACGCCCGCTGGCAGGAGGTCACAGGGCAGACCCAGGTGCCACGGGTCGACTGACTGAGATGACTGGCTGATGCACCACCTGTGCCCCCTACTGTGCCAACCTGCTGTGCTTTAGCCACCCAGCGCTCCGCTCGTTGTTGTGAGCGTCGCTACTCCGCCCTCCGTTGTTGTTGGAGGGCGACTGCCTCCAACTGCCCAGTAGCGTCCTTCACGAGCCTCCTCCACAGAGGCCGATCTTGACACCGCTGGTACCAGTCATCGGCAAGTCCACTCAGCTCCACGTCCTCCTGTACCACATCACTCCATCTCTTCTCGAGCCCGTGCCACGCCCATTTAGCCCCCTTGATCCGGCCGAACAAAAGCTGTTTCAGCATGCGGTGGCTGGGCATGCGGGCTACATGACCCAGCCAACGCAGCCTTGCCTGCCGGAGGAGCTCACCGATGGGACTGTGCCCAGATCTTTCAAGGATTTGTGAGCTACTCACACAATCCTTAGGAGTGAGACCTCTGCTGTTAAACTGGAGCTGGTCATAAGCACACTGCCCAGGTATAGGAAACTCTCCACTCTCTCCACAACTGCCCCATCACCGATTGGGAGTTGTGGGGTTGGAGTTTCCGATGGTACAAAATACCCAGGCAGGTGCTTAGTTTTGGTGGGGCTGATGGTAAGGCCCCATCTCTTAGTGGCACGCTCCAGTCTCAGCAGCAGCGTCTCCAACTCCTCCTCTGAATGAGCAGCTATTACCAAATCATCGGCATACATAACGTGGTTGAGCAATAGGGAGCCATCCCTTGACCGCATCCGGGCATCGATCAGCCTCCCATTACATCTGTACCATATGGAGATTCCCCCAGTACAGCTATTGAAGGCTTCACGAACTACGTGGTCAAAATAGATGTTAAATAATGTGGGAGCCAGAGGACATCCCTGTCGCACCCCAAGGTGTACAGGGAATGGCTCTGACTCCCGGCCACGTAGTTTTACCCGGGCCCGCTCACCATCATGAAGGTCCTTAATGATCGTGAGCAGAGGGTCAGGTACTCCAAAAGCACGAAGAATAACCCAGAGCCCAGGCCTACTGATGGTATCATAGGCCTTGATCAGGTCAATAAAGCAGAGATGTAGGTCTTGCTGGAATTCCCTCCACCTCTGCTGTAGCAGACGGACAGAAAATATGGCATCTGTGCAGGACCGCCCTTTCCTGAAACCGCATTGGGGCTCCGCAAGCCTCTCCTCAGCGTGCCTGGCAAGGCGATGTTGAATAATCCTTGCCAGGACCTTTCCCGGCACACTGAGGAGTGAGATGCCCCTGTAGTTGTTACAGTCTGTTCGGTCCCCCTTCTTAGACAGACACACACACAGACACACACGCAGACACACACGCAGACACACACACAGACACACACACAGACACACACACAGATACACACGCTCCCAAACGCGCATCCAGCGGTTGCGCATCGCTTTTGGCCACCCTTGATTGAATTACAAAAATGTCCACATTCTCATGGCGGGTGCGGGATTTATGAAGCGTCGTGTAAATGCTACCGCCAGAGCTATGAATGAATCGTCACAATTCGATTAAACAATTTATCCTATTTTTGTTGGTTTTAATCATTGCGGAGAATGCCGATGCTTCTATAGCTGCTGCTGTGGCCGAGTGAACCGATGCCATACAACATGAACAAATCGAAAGGGACAATGAACAAGAGTTGTGATGATGAACGTTTGGCTTCAAGTCTCGATATTCATCAATGAATGGGCGAGTCGTTCCACCTTTGTACAGACGAATGGAGAGGGGGGGGGGATCTAAATCTTTGACTTGATGCATTTTCCCATTAATAAAGCAACCAGGAAGAGATCGCGTGCTGCAGGGACCTTTGGCAAGTGCCGTCATGAAGAAATGAAGCTCAACCGGTTTGTCTGCTCCACTTTGCAGTGCAAAGATTCCCCGTGTAGCCTTGAACAGACTGTTTGTGCAAGCGCTGTTAGCGAGCGCCTACGAAGGCCGGCATGGCACACGAGGGGGAGGTGGCCAGACACCACCCCCAGACTGCCTTTGTCTCCCCAGTGATGATGTTTGCAAGCCGCGCCAGGTACTCATTCAAGGCTGAGTCGACCTAGGAGAGGCACAGTGCTGGTTTAGATATCACTTGCTTCTGATGTTAGCCGTGGCCGGGGAGTCTAACTCTGGTTTATTGTTTTAATAGTACGGTGTACTAACCACGATGGCGCCTCTTCCCATGCGGAAACTTTTGCCCAAAGAGCCAAAGTAAGCCGTTTCGAAGTAGGCAAATCACGATGCATCCATTTATCCACTAGCATCGATTCAAGGACTCTTTTGAGGAGGATCCTGGTCCAGTGGCTTTTTACTTTCTGATGTTTTCAGCCAATCGTTGAATTGTTTAATGACGTGGGAGACAAGCGGCAGACCCGGAGAAAGCCCACACACGCTCACGGTATGCGTGCATAGAATTGGGCACGTGAAATAAACAATTATTCATATTTTATGCTAATCAATTCAAACTGGATGCTAATATTTAGGCTAACGCTGTATCGACAAGACAGGGGAAATGAGAAACAATGCAAACTAGGCGGGTTTAAAAAGGCTAAATAGAAGTCAAATCATGATCAATTCTTAGGTTTGGTGACACTAGGATGCTTTGGGTTCAGTGAAAATGCTGAGGACTCATGGAGCCAAACTAAGGTAAAAGCAGTAAGAATTCGTAACAGTGAGGTGGCCAGTGTCTCAGAGGCCAAAGCACTGAACTAGTGCCGCTGAGAATCCTGGGTTTAAATCTGGGTTTCATATACCCATGATTATACCGAGTTCAAGTGATTTTATGAACTTAGTGCAGTTGCCAATGACGGCACCATTTAACAATTTTTTTTATTAATTTGGCTCAATTCCAGCTCTGACATACAATGAGCAATATGTGCAGAGAATGTGAAAGGTGCGCCTTTAATGTAGATGACGATGATGCTAATTCACATGACCTCAGTGGTAATTTAGTGGCATCCACTGTTGGGGCCCATTCTCTAGACGCAGGAGGCAGAGATCCGAATGTGAATATCTTCATCTTACGACATTGACACCAACAGCACACAGCATCGATCATCATCACCATTAAACGGAAAATTAAAGACAAACCACAGTCGTACGGATGTGGCCGTGCAACCCAAACTATGGACCGTATCGTAAACCACTGCAGTCTGCGCTCATTGAACGGAGAAGTAACAGCAAAGCCACACGAAACTCAAATTGCCATTTAGCTCATGAAGATATTGCCATACGCAAGAAGAATGATCATCATCATCATCAGCTTTGATCCGTGACCTGCTGGATGAAGCCCATCCCAAGCTCTCACTTTCTCTCACAGTGCTGCAATGTAAAACAATCCACCTCACACACGAGACGATTTCTTCGTTCCGTCTCCGCAGGGGAGATCCTCACAATCACATTCCGTACCGTGGCTGCCACTCCATTTTTTTCGAATAAAAAAACCACTTCAATATTTCAAGAGCCGCAATGCACCGTGTGGTGAATACGAGATGCTGGGTCCTGAATAAATAACGCGTCACGGAGCAATCCTGAAAGAGCCGGAGGCTGCCGACCCTTGGGATAGACCACTGGCCAACGTCCATTTAACACCAAGTTAACTTTCTTTTCTTAACACTGAAACATTATTTCCCTAACTTGCCTTCATATCCACGTGTGTGTAATGGTGCAACTACAATACAATTGTGGGGGGGGGGGAACTAAAAATAGGCTTCACTGGATGACTTGTAATATTGATAACTAGTACATGTCATAACCACCATCTTCATCAACCATGATCAATCCACTGCTGGATAAAAGCCTCCCCAAGGCGTTGCCACCTCTCGTGACCACAAGATGCAATTAATTTATTTCAATTGCCAATGTGCCAAATGTTTCGTGGCCAATTAAAAGGCATTTATTTGGATGACTGCATCAGCTTCTACTGACACAGTCATCCAAACTTTTACAAACAAACAGAGGACCTGAATAAACGAAAAGTTTGGAAACAAACGAATACGTCGCTTTGTGTGGTTCCTAGGTGGATTATTGCAATGTGGAATCGTGAGAGGTGGTGGGAGCTTGGAAA